AAAAAAAAAAAAAAGGGAAAGAAGAATGGAAAGAAATGGGAGTTTCCCATGGATCATGAACTACAAATACATTTTAATAGACATCAAATATATTTCATAAGAAACTTGCATCTCTAAACTTAGAACTTTTTCCTTGCTATTTGGTTTTGATTTCCCATTATTGATTATTAAAAAGACTTTTTGTGAAAACCATTAACTTTTTCCTATTGACGTACCTATCTATAAAAGCTTTTCTCCCCTTACACATCTGACAATATAGCCAGGGGGTGTCTGTCTGATTCGACTCTCCAGGAGCAGTATTTACTCTGGGGACCCAGGGGAGGCACCCACGAAGCAGGAAACAGAAAAGGACCCACCTGTTGACTAGGATCTTTTTTATTTGTTGTCTTGGGGTTCTCTCATAACATTTATCATGGTATCAAAAAAGTTTTTTTCCTGTCTTTTGATCTATAAAGGACCAGACAGGAAGTTAAGGATGACGTGGGTTGTGAATGTGAGTGAATGTGATCTAATAGTAGCTTTCTTATTATGGAATTCTGATTAGAACCCTCTCATGCCAGCAAATTTTTCCCATAAAGCATTTTATAAAATAGAACTGGGTCCCTCCAAAAGCTCTAACTTGTAAGTACCAGTTTTTCTTTATAAAACATTTATTTGTTATTTGTGTCAGCTTGACCTAGATGTTTCTTCCTATTATACGAACTTGTTACAATTCCAAAAGATATTTTTATTCCTCTCTAGAACAAAATGAGTCTTTAAAGCCAGGTCGGTTTTAGCCAAATGGAGTAAAGAGTCCTGGCAATTGTTCACATAATAAAGGGTGAGGGTTGCTCACTTCAATTAGGTGTGGATTTTAAATGTTTTAAATGTGTTTAGTGCTTTTTTTTGTTCTTAATATTTTTAAACATTAAAACATAAAAAATTTTTGATCTACTACAATAGACCTTATATGTTATTCATTTTGTTTCGTTATTCATTTGGGATAGTTTATGAGAGATGATGAAATTTATGTAGCCCATGAGTTAAAATAAACCCAAATTCATAATACCCAGTGCTCATTACATCACATGCCCTCCTTAATGAATCACAGGCCTGTACCTCTGAAACCAATAATACATTATGTGTTAATTAATTGAATTTAAATTTTAAAAAGTTTAAAAAAAATGTGTATTACCTAGTGAAGGAATGCAATCTGGAAATTTGTGTGTGATTCCAATTATATGGCATTCTGGAAAAGGCAAACTATGGATATAGTTAGTGAAAAGATTAATGTTTGCCAGAGTAAAGAAATATCTCATTTTGGTTACAGTTTGCATTTCCCTAATGGCTAATAATGTTGAGTATCTTTTTCATGTTTATTAGACATTTGTGTATCATCTTTAATGATTTATTCTACTCTTTTGTTTTAATTGAGTTGCTGTATTTTATACTGAGTTTTAAGATTTCTTATATATTCTGGATACAAATTCTAAGATACATGATTTGAAAATAAAAAAAAAAATAAAATAAACCTGAATTCAACATAATACAATGATGACTTTAAAGTTGTACTCTCTGAAAAGATGCTTGTTTCCTTTTTAATATTGATTTCCATTAGGCATATTTTTTTTAAATTGAAGGGTTTTGATTGACTCATACAATGTGCCCAATATACCTAATTTTTAGTAATTTTCAAGTCAAATTATTTTTGCAAATAACTATTAAGTCTTTTTAATTTATGTAGTAAATCAAGTCCTAAGTTCTCTATAAAAATAGCAGCATCTTTGAAATGGCACTATAAAGTGATGTATATTTCAATTTTGAAGGATAACCAGCTTTTTCTCTAAATATTGATGATTTCAACGCAAAAAGAAAAAGTTCAATTTTCTGATGTTTCTAGGCATTCTTGACATTCCAGATGTAATGGAGTACTTTTACAATCCATTTCCAAATACAAATAAATGCAAAAAAAAAATTAGGGTGAAGCCATGAGAAAAATAATATTTTATAAATAAGATGATATTGAAAATGAAAAGATATTAGAAAAGAATCTTATATTTATGTTTTTCTTACCTTTATAGAAAAACACATTGGAAGTGTTTACAATAAAAGGTCTTGAGGAAGCAATGACTCCACATAAAAATAAAGTTTAAAAGTGTTAAAAGAGTTCTTCCAAGGTCTCCAAATGTCAGCAGCACCAAAAAACCAAAAACCAAAACAAACAAAAAACAACCAATAAAACAAAAGCAAAAAAACACAAGGGAAACAACAAAAATTGCAATTATACTATATGAAGCTACCCAGAGATAAGTGTGTGGCAATGGAGAGCTTCTCACTTAGTGAAAGTCAACAGATTTTGAGCACTTGCTTTCTTTCTTTTTCTTTTTAATTTTATTTTATTATGTTAGGTTAATCACCATACATCACATCATTAGTTTTTGATGTAGTGTTCCATGATTCATTGTTTGCCTATAACACCCAGTGCTCCATGCAGAACGTCCCTCTTTAATACCCATCACCAGGCTAACCCATCCCTCTACCCGCCTCCCCTCTAGAACCCTCAATTTCTTTCTCAGAGTCCATAGTCGCTCATGGTTCGTCTCTACCTCCAATTTCCACCCCCCTTCATTTTTCCCTTCCTACTATCTTCTTCTTCTTCTTCTTTTTTAATATATAATGTATTGTTTCAGAGGTACAGGTCTGTGATTCAACAGTCTTACACAGTTCACAGCACTCACCATAGCACATACCCTCCCCAATGTCCATCACCCGGCCACCCCATCCCTCCCACACCCCACCACTCCAGCAACTCTCAATTTGTTTCCTGAGATTAAGAATTCCTCATATCAGTGAGGTCATATGATACATGTCTTTCTCTGATTGACTTATTTTGCTCAGCATAATACCCTCCAATACATGCCCTCTTTAATACCCATCTTGCTTTCTAAAATGTAAAAGCATTGAGGGGAAAAATAAAAACCAGAGTCTTTCTGTCTCATATCTCCCTCTCTCTCTCTCCCTCTCTCCTTTCTCTCTACCCGCCCCCCCTCCACACACACTCTGAGGCTGCCTTTGCTTTCCCATCTAGATAGAAAAGTGAAAAAAATAAATAAGTGTGGCAGCCTTCATCTATATAAATGTAACCCATTCAAAAGTAACACACTTATCTAAAAATGCTTTTATCGTTTTTGAAAGGTTTGAGGGAAATCTACCTAATCCATTTTAAATACCAAGTTTAATTAACATAAGATACTTTTTTGCAATTTGAAATGTATCAAGCTATTTCTTTGCATTCCCTTTTTGCCTACGAAATTCAAAAACAGAAAAGAACTGTGGTTATGTCGGAGTGCTTGGGCTGTGAGGGGCTGAAAGCTGTTTGACAACATGCCATAGAAAGAGAAACTTTGGTTCTGCCGGGGTCCGTTCACGGGCAAGTGTCTGATAGAATACGTCTACCACAAGCTTCATTTTCCACTTGCAGCAGGGAGAACAGGGTGTGCGGTTCGCTTTGTTTAGAACCCTTGCGGTGTCATTTCTGGGATTTGGGAAGTTGGGCAGTGACTCTTTGCTGAACCGATTTTCTCACTGGTTACAGAAGGTATAGACTTTTTACCTGAGGACCAAGTAAATGCTGATGCCCCTGAGGTCATGTGCTTTCATCTGGTAGTGAAATTTCCTCTCACCTTGAAATAAGTAACATTCCAACCAAAATTAAATACATTTTTTTTTGCCTTGCTCTGACCACATAAAATAATCATTGAGATCCCTTCTCTACAATCCTTTCCAGGTTTAATGAACTGTCTTAAGGTCTCTTGAAAAAGTTCGGATTTACAGTGATCAGGTCTGGGGTCCTCCGGGACATTTCTGTCGTGAATGGTGCTGTATCACTAAGAGTTCTCAGCCAGTATCTGCAGGACCCGAGCAGTCGCTCTGCCCCTGGGGTCCTTCAGCTGGCCCTGGGAGTAACACCTGCCACCCTCCGTCAGAGCCAGGCTCCACAGACCATTTCACACTCTGTCTGTGCTTACTGCCCCCAGAAGTAGCTTTTGCACTTTCACTTGGCCTTGGTTTTGGGCCTCTGTGATGGTTCCCTTAGATTCTATCTTTAATATCCTTCAAAGTCCTTACTGTAACTGTAAACTTTCCCACTTCTTATTCCCATACCTAGTGTTCCTGGAAGGAATCTTTTAAAACCATAGACCCTGGCCAGGGGTTTGACGTAAGGCAAAATAAACATCTGTTGATTGAGAAAATTGTCATTTTAAGAGTCTCAGGTAGTCTCTGAAAGGTGTTATAGAATTGCTGGTTGTGAATTTTTTGTTTTAATAGCTGATAATGAGAAGAGCTGGCTTCCAAGAATAATTCAGCTATCACTAAAGGAAAAGCCAAGGCAAAGACAATGGATTCAAGTTCTGACAGACCAATGTAGTTATGCCAGATAATTCAAGTGAAGTCCTTAATTTAGAGAGCTTTGCTGCCATAGCAACCTAATTACAATGTAAAGTGAGGTACTCCTACCACCATTCTATAAGGTTACATTGCTTCAAGAGTCCCAAATAAAATTCAGAGGAAGAAAACAAAGAAAAAAGAACAAGAATATTTGTATTGAATTCTTTTACTTTCTTAATTTTCTTCCTTACAACATAATCACAAAGCCCAGTGGGATCCTTAACACCACCCAGCAACAGCCAAATTTCCTCTTAAAACAGAGCTCAGCATCATATAGTTTCTCTGCTTGGAACCTCTCAGTAGTCTCTTATCTTACAGTAAAATGGGACCATCATACCATGAAAAGCAGAGTCTATGTTCAAGGTCTTGGCAGATATTTTTCCTCTGCTGCAAAAATCTTCTCGATAGTCAAAACTCTCCTGCTTTTTTTAAAGACTCTCTTCAGATCTTACCCATTTAGAAAGATTTACCCTTCTTCCTTAAAAAACAAAACAAAACAAAGCAAAACAAACAAAAAACAATGCTGCCTTCCACCCTCTCATTCTCCAATCCTCTAAGACAAGCTCTTTTTTCCTGACCCTTATCCCTACCAGACCCTTTTCACCACTTTTTTCCTGACACCATGTACACATATTCTCTATTTGTGATATACACAGCATACATATTTATTTAAAGTCTTAAAAATTGACATTTTTCCAGATTTCACATTTTTCAAGCCATAGCAAAACCATACAGTAGCTATTTACAAAGCAAAAGCTTTCTAAGTTACCTGCTCCCAGCAAAATTGAGAAATAAATGCAAGAAGAAGCATGCTTCATTTGGAGAATGAAGGAATAAATGGGTGGAGAGGGCTCTAAACACTCTACTCATTCCCCTGCCTTTTATGGTTGAAGACAGAAGAGTTACTCATAGTTGCATAAGGCAGCGGCTACTAATTATAGCGAAACCAAGACTAGAATCCGCTTCTTCATTCCAGCACAGCACCCCTTTATAACATGTTAAATCCTACTGATGTACTTTTTTTCCTGAAGTTTCTCAACATAAAATATTCCAGACACAGCCTCCCTTTATACAGAAAAGTAAGAATTAGCGTGCTTTTACTCAAATAGATCAATAAATGTCCTATCTAAAGAAATTACTGAAGATTATATGTGGTCAGACTTCTATTGTTTCTAAAATATCATAATAGCTACTTGCTGCTAACATTATTTTATGAACATCCCCTCTGGTCTAGGCACTTCAGCTCAGTGTCCCCATTCCTCACAACAAGCCAGCAAAGTAGATTTTATTAGTCCCATTTTTCAAATGAGGTCAACGAAATTCAGTGTGTCATAGTGCATTGCTCAATTTTCCGCAACCAGAAAGGGTCAGAGAATTTAGACCAAGGTCACTCCCGCTAGCACCCATGCTTTCTCTCTTGCCTCGTGCCTCTGTAAGATAACAATGGAGAACTGTAATAATCACTGGTGTCATTGAACTTATCTGCTTGTGTGAAGTTTCCCATGATCATGGTATGAGCGGGGTTCCAAGCCAACCTCTGCCACTCTAAAGCAATAAGGTGACGGTGACAAAATGTGTTGGAGTGTATTGCTCTGGAAGAAACACGCCTTTATTTACTTGACTGGGACCAAGAATCCATCAATCCTGGCCATAGAGGGTTAGAAGAGAAGCCCCCATCTGACGTGTAAAATTTGGATAATCTCTACAGTAGAAAGGAAAAGAGGGGACTCACAAAACATAGGATGAAAAATTAAACAGTTGCATTTATTTTCCCGTTTTGCTGGGAACAGGCATCTTAGAAAGGTTCACGGTTATAATGAACTATTGTTCATTCTCTGGCTTTGAGATGACATAAAAACATTTTAAAGCAAGAGAAAAGCCCATTGTAAGGGCTTAGAAAGTAAAAAGTAAGTCATTTAATTTTTCTTTCATCTGATGTTAATTTATTCAGAAGCGAATAACATATTTGTGGCTCAGAGCTGCTCACTGTGGAGAGGATTTCTCTCTCCACCAGCCTTCCCTGTGATCCCTGCCAGAGAGACCCATCATTTCAGGGCCTATGACACTCTTGCCAGAGAAAGGCAGGACACTGATCAGTTCACACGCTACAGACACATTTAATTGCTACCCCTCTGAAAGCCAATGGCATTAAATGTTCTAACTCTTCTCTAGCTGCCACAAAAAAAAAACAAAAAAACAGCCAACAATCTGGAAGAGAGGGTGAGGAGGAAATGAAATATTTGGGTGCATAGTCCCAGGTGGAAAGGGAAGGGTATTGTTGACTGTTGAGGGAGAAAATAGGGGAAGAATTTTCATAAAAGAAACATGGGTTACTTTTATTTCCAAGCAGGAAATAATTAAATTATGGTGTCTTTTATAATTCCACTCATTCTGCTCCTGCCAAATCACCTATAGAATAGAGACAATCGTGCTTGAAGAAATGCCAAATCTTCAGAATTAATGTTTTAAATGAATTCACCATGGATAAAGTAAGCCCCGACTTTCTACATGGCACCCAGAATTTCTACAGCTTAAAGGTCTAATTCATAAAAATGTTATTAAAGTACATTATTTATACATTATTTTTGTAGACTTCTGCTTTTATTCATGACTCTCTCAGTGTATGGCCGTAATCACAGGCAGAGTGTAAATGGAAGCTTTAATTCAATCTGAACTAAGGCAAAAATACTGTATCACCACAATAAAATTGCAGTTATATTAATTTAAAGGGTAGGATTTATTGCACAAGAGTATTCTCTTTAAAAAAAAAAAATGAAAAGAACGTCTTTCATCTTATGACCTCAAATATCGACTTTCATTCTGAAGTTCAATGTAAGATTGACTAATTGACATGCACTTTTTTTTTTTTAAAGATTTTATTTATTTATTTGACAGACAGAGACACAGCGAGAGAGGGAACACAAGCAGGGGGAGTGGGAGAGGGAGAAGCAGGCTCCCCGCTGGGCAGGGAGCCCGATGCGGGGCTCGATCCCAGGACCCTGGGATCATGACCTGAGCCGAAGGCAGACGCTTAACCACCGAGCCACCCAGGCGCCCCAACATGCACTTTTAAATAAAATATTTATTCATCGACATTAGGAAACTGAGAGACTTGGATCCTGAGTTGTGATCTTATTGTGACCACAGCGCTGATGTCTGATAAGTGCTAAGAAATATTTACAAGCAATCTGTATTTTAATTAACCCATTTTCTGGCACAAACAATTAGCAAATGCTTATTCAATTGTCTGGCATATGCATTTTTTAGATAAGATGGAAAACGCCCTGGTATGTAAAATTTCTCCCAGACCAGCTGAAAGTAATGATACTTAAATCAAAAGCATCTTTATTCAGAATTTGAAACACGATTTACATATTTAATATGCATAAACCTGTAGGAAAAGGCAAAGTGGAACTCAGTTGGTTTATTTCTAACTCTGGAACTATCACAATTGGACTTCTTGACTTTCTCCTGACTGGAAGAGCAAGCGTAATGGTAGACCACAGACACATTCCGACAGAGTGTGAATATATTTCTTCCTACGACACGAGCTTATCTCTAGGAGTCATGAGAAGGGGTTCTTTATAAATTATACTTCTAACACTGAAAGTGTTGTCTTTGATCTTGTAGGTAAAAAAAATCTCTATCTCTAAGGGAATGAATTAATTCCTATATTTAATAAGATGCAATCATTAGTAGACAACTTCAGCGTTCACACTAGAACTATGCATTGAATTTTTTCAGCATAGAAACAATCTCATAATAGTTCTGGGTAATGAAAATCTTTGAAAGCTTGGCATCTATACTTGTGAGGAGAGACAAGTGACAAAGAGAAAGGTATTTCAAATATAAGGTAAATAGCACTACGAATTGAGGATAAAAAATTAGTCGATCTCCATCCTCAACCTTACTCAAACCTAAAAACACTGCATATTCCATTTCGACAACTCTGTGCTTCTATAGCACTTTGTTTTTTGAAATGAGTACACTTACCGGAACCATGTCCAGGGATGTCCAGTTGTTACGTGGCTACGGCGAGGCATTTGAGATTCCCTCTGCTGTCAGACCAAGGCTTTCTCAGATCTCTGAAAAAGAAATCTTCCATGGAGAAGTCTAGAGGCACCACATGCCATTCTCTGTGGCACCCAGAATTTCTGCAACCTCTGGGTGCAAAAAGCCTAAGTATCCTCGTTGATATAACCACTCAGAAAGGGCAGTGGAAATTATGTCCCCAACATACCAGACAGATGTCACCAGGCTCCAAATGCCTGCTGACAAGAAGCAGATTTGAGAAACTGTTAAATCAAAACAGATATCATTAATGGCCTAGTGTATTATTTCTAATGACATTGAACATACAAAAAGAAAACAAAATAATAATTCTTTTAGCTTACCTGCAGTATTTTTCCTCAGAAATGAGATTTTAATTTCATATATTACTATCTTACTTTAGGCACCAAGCGATAGCTTGGTTCAGAAAGCTCAAACTATCTTGTTCATTATTTATAAACAATATTAGCAACCTACCATTTTATGCATTTACTCTGAGCCAGGCACTGTGCGGAGCGCTTTGTAAACATTAGCTCACTTTGAAGGAAGTACTATTATTTTACAAACGAGGAAAATAAGGCCTAGTGGGATTAAATCACTTGGTCAAAGTCACAAAGCTATCTGGAGGTTGAACTGACTTAACAGTAAGGCTTCATTCAAATCTTGGTTTTTCTTTCGTACTAAATTTTCTTCTCTAGAAAAAGAAGAGGAAAAGAAGAAAGCTGAGAAGAAAGTGACTTCTGAAACAAAAAAGAAAGGTAAGTAACTTAAAAACTAACACACAAGTTGGGGTGCCTGGGTGGCTCAGTTGGTTAAGCGACTGCCTTTGGCTCAGGTCATGATCCTGGAGTCCCGGGATCGAGTCCCGCATCGGGCTCCCTGCTCAGGAGGGGGTCTGCTTCTCCCTCTGACCCTCCCCCCTCTCATGCTCTCTCTCTCTCTCAAATAAATAAATAAATAAAATCTTAAAAAAAAAAAAACTAACACACAAGTCAATTAAGATCCCTTTACAATGCTACTGGCAAACTCTTGTTTTCTAGAAAAGAATGAATAATAATTAATAATTTTATTGTTATTGTCATTAACGAACATTCTTGAGATTTATAAATATTCCAAATAAAGTTGAAATTGATAAATATTTAAAAAGAAAAGTCATGCCTTAACACTTTTTACAAATTGTTAACTGATTGAATTTTTTTCTTCCTGGGGAGTGGTGCTTAATTCTCTCTAATTCAATACTTCGTTTGACTGCAAATACAAATATAAGAATTCCTATTCATTCAGTTTAATGAAAAGTGTCTATCAAAAGGACAACTATTGAATGTATAGGGGCAAAAAAACTAGTTGATCGGTTTGCTGTATTTTGTTACTATTTGAAAACAGTGCATCTGGAGTCCCAAGTAAGCTCCAGAGATTTCTGAGCTTCTGACATGCTTCCAGTGGCCTGATAGCGCAGAGAACTTTCAATATATTCCTTTTAATGTCTTTCAGAAAAGAACTATTGAATTATACCATAATTAATAATGGCATTTAATGTTTCCATTGTCATGAGAAAAAAAATTTTTTTGAGCTTAGCAAAAAGTTTCTCCCTTCTTGAAGAGAAAACACACCAGAGCCACTATTCTGTAATGAAGGTGCTAGTTTACTCATATTTGGCATGACTACGGCACTGATTTCGGATTACTCTAGAGAAGATGTATTGGATGCCATAATGGCAGTCATGTGTGCCCTGACATATATGAGAATTAACTAGATAAATGCCTATAATTTTCCCATTTTACTACCAGAAAAAGAAGATGTCAAAAAGAAAACGGATAAGGACACTGCCATTGATGTGAAAAAAAAAGGTATCGTATTTTGTTTCTTTAGTCAGATTATGTTCACGATGCTTGCTCAGGAGAGGATCTTGGGGCAAGGTAAACAAATTGGGATATAGGTACTTAAATCTGTCCATGTGCAAGCCGTCAAAGCAAACATTGCACTAGACAAAATTAAGCATGCAAGGAAGACTTTATTCAAGGCTGTTGTAATACAGGAGAGAGGTCACAACTCATTCTGAATTCAATTTCACTGAAATAAAAAGCAGGAGGCTTTTTATGAGCTGAAAGGGGCAGAGGGTTGTAAGCCATCCGTGTGTACTAACTGGCCCACTCAAAGCAAAAGTAAACTTTTTTCTTAACTTAATGACTTAATGACAGGAGTGTAGTTTTACAACTTGGAGCAAGACATACCAAAGGAGTGACGTTCTTACTATCCCACGGAAACTGGGCCATTGGGTACTATTGTTCTTGATGATTACATTTCAAAGGGATGGAAAGAGCCTTTTAAAAAGATTTTTATCTCAAAGGAGCAAGGCAAGAGTTGCATGATGGTACATGACTCATGAAATGCTCAGGAAGTGACCTCCAGGTGTTCTGTGGGTCTGAGAACTCATTGCCAAATACTTTGCATTCAAATTTTTATTATTAGGGATGGATTACTGTAGAATCTGTTGTATTATCGAACACTCATTCAATTTATTTGATTTAAAGCTTTCCTCATGTCCCTGGTGAAATATGTATCTTACCATAAGAAAGGGAAAATGCAATTCTGACTACATGATGATACTGAGAACTTGGTTGCTGGGGTCAGCATACCTGTGCTTGATTATGATTGGGTGCTAAAGGGAAACAAGGTTCTCCTTTCTGGGCCATCAGTTTTGCCAGGTATTTGCAGAAGGAAGTTTTGAATTGTAACCTTCAAAGTATTCATTATATGTTTGCAAATGCAAAATCGGAAGAACACGTTTGCCAAAACTCAGTGATGTGTGTGGTTGTCGTTTTGGTTTGGTTTCAGTTTTTTAGGAGAAAGGCAACACACCTTTATGTACAGTGAGTGATGGGAAAATTCGGTATTTCTCTGCTACTGGGAGACCTGTGGTATTAGCCCAGCAGTCATGTCAAAATGAGGTTGTATACCACTGGCAAGAGAACTGATTATGCCCGTATCACTTCCCACGAGGTCAGAGTTCATTCATCCACTTCCTACAAGGCCAGGGCTCGTGTGCTCATCTGTGGGAACAGAGAACGAACTGGGCAGTTGCTCAGCACACCTGGGGAGGGCTGCTCAGCTAGTGTTGAAAAACAACTTTGTCCTTCTGGGAACCAGTTTTCCTTGTGTGTTTGTGTGTTCACTTGTGATGACAAACAATACTGTTGGCTCTTAAAAATTAGTTCAACTTCGGGCGCCTGGGTGGCTCAGTTGGTTAAGCGACTGCCTTCGGCTCAGGGCATGATCCTGGAGTCCCGGGATCGAGTCCCGCATCGGGCTCCCTGCTCGGCGAGGAGTCTGCTTTGCCCTCTGACCCTATCCCCTCTCATGTGTTCTCTCTCATTCTCTCTCTCTCAAATAAATAAATAAAATCTTTAAAAAAAAAATTAGTTCAACTTCCTAATGGAAATATGTATAAATTGTTTGTTTACAAGCCCTTAACCCCCAAATACTCAAAATTGTGTGTGTGTGTATGTGTATGAGTATGTGTGAGAGACAGACAGAGAGACAGATATAGAAGTTTTAACTCTTGCTTCTTTTTAGAGTTTAATAATTCTCCAACTGTATTTTCATGTGAGAGGCAATATGGTTTAAAAACAGCCAGTTTGAAACATGAAAGTAGTAGTTTCCAGAGATAATGAGAGAAATTGAAAATAACCTGAAATCTTGAAGAGCTGGGGCACATATGTCATTTCTTCCTAAAATAGTTGGAAGAATATGGCAGAATGTAGGATGCTACTACTCTAGCCCCAGAGTAGAAAATTTACAAGGCATAATATATGCTTAGATACTTATGGGTTTTATCATGATATTTTATTATACTTATATTGACTTTTATATTATTTACACTTATATAGCATATAAAGTTACCTATATATTATATTGTTATTTTATTTTATTACATTTATATATTATAATTATGTAGATGCAAATCAACCTAAGACTTAAATTCTATGATAAATGAGCCTCTACTGCCTGAAACTGGTAAATCACACTTTGCAAATGATCTATGCTAGGGAAAATGTGGGTGGGATTTTGCATGATATAAAATTGCCAGTTCACAAATTAATAATGGTTGGAACTGGGTAATTGGTGCATCAGGGGTCATTATAATAATCTCTTGTTTTGTATATATTTCAAATTGTCCTGGTGCAAACAAATAGCTGCCACTTAAAAAACGTTGTATGAAATGGGAAAAAAATTCACGAGGATATTTTTTCAGTGTCATGAGGTATGTTTCAGTCTGAATACCATGAAAAAAAGCAATCAAGAAAGGATATAAAAACTTTTCTTTTTTTTTTTTTTTAAGATTTTATTGATTTGACAGAGAGAGACACAGCAAGAGAGGGAACACAAGCAGGGGGAGTGGGAGAGGGAGAAGCAGGGTTTCCCGACGAGCAGGGAGCCTGATGCGGGGCTCGATCCCAAGACGCTGGAATCATGACCTGAGCCGAAGGCAGACGCTTAAAGACTGAGTCACCCAGGCGCCCCGGATATAAAAACTTTTAAGAACCATCTCCCTATGCTTATATCAGACTTGAGCATTAGACATAACACGCCACTCAAGTTAGGACAAGCAGAAGGGCTTCTGTACAGGAGAGTGGATGCATACACAGGTGGTGGAAGGACTGGAAGAACTGCAGTCAAGGGGCTGCTCCTGGATTGTTGAGACCAGGGCAGTCAGCCGGTCAGGAAGCCGCTTCAGTCACTGAAGCTGCCTCTTGACACCTGCAGGCTAGACCCTGGAAATGTTGAGGCCAGCCTTGGCAACTGATTCCCATCCAAGTAACCTTCGTCAAAACATTTCTGCTTTTCAGTCTCCTGGAGGTGTATCTGACTGGTAGAATTACATCTACCGCAAGTGAGTCTGGAAGATGTGGGGTTTTGACATTCCATTTTTTCCAACCGGAAGGAAGTTGAAAGAGGGTACCCAAGGTCTCTACCGTAAAGATACAGACATGTTTTATAAGCTAAGACTCATATAATAAGAGAAGGTTGTTGAAGGCCTGAATTGCACAAAGATGGCTCAGTCAAGCCGCGTGGCAGTTTGAAGAGCCCATGAGACATACTTCA